TTGAAATGGTAGTTCTTCGTACTGGGGTGATGGTCTCGTGTTCTGTGGAGTCGTCAGAAGAGTCCTTCATGAGGGCAACAAGCTCTGAGTCTTCAGTGGAGGCTGAAAGAGGAAGCAGTAAGTTCAAGGCCACCTGAGGCCCTAGGCAGGATAGGCCAGAGCAGAGCCCCCAGCCCTCCTGGAGCAGACAGGCTCTGCCAAGCCCAGCCTCGACACCCATTGCCAGGCTCAGCACATCCATCACATTCACCCCTGGTTATGCTGTCTCTCAGGCCACAGCAATGTCTGTGGGTGCCCTCGGCAATGCAGGAGGAGCACAGGAGCAGTTCCCAGGGCCTGGGGAAGCAAATGACTTTATGGAGCTGAGGACAAAGTGTCCAAAGTGTGGGATTATCTGGCTGAGCTCTACTCCTGGGTCGTTTTGCTTCAAGCCCTGCAGAGCCCCGGGATGCAGCTTTGGCAACTTACCCTTCCAATTCTTCCTCTTCTCTACCTCCTGGAAAAAGGCACTCTCTGGCATCGCAGTGCCTGTGCCTGTCTCCTAGCTCGGCAAATGCATTACCGCCCTCCCATGATGATGGTCTGATGGGAAAAGGAAGCCTGATGAGCTCCTTCTGTCCTGGCATCGGGCAGGTGCAGGGTGTCCCTGCTCTTCCCCCTCTGCCATTTCCAGCTCCTGCGTGAAGCAGAACCCTTGCATGGCACAGCACTTGCACTCCCCTGTGTTGTGAGCCAGGCAGAAGGACACCAACCTGAAGGGGATTTGGATCCCCATGGTGAACAGACTCATAACAAATGTGTTATTATCCCTGCAGAGGGGGCACCGGAGGGATAAAAAACCAGCATGCAGAGCCTGTCCCTGCAGGAGAAACAGGAGCAGTCAGAGTGAGGCCCTGGTGCTGCTGAGACCCTGCTGACCCCGTGGGGGTTTAGGGAACCATTCTTACTTGAATACAATCCCTGTGGAACCAGGCGTTTTTGCACGCTGGGCACTCCATGGTGTTGAAGGTCTTTCTTTCTTCCACGGGCTCCATGCAGATGAGGCATTCGGTGCCCAGCTCTGGAGTCACCTCCACTGCCTGCTCTGGTCTGTGTGTGGGGCAGAAGGACCTGGGGGGAAAAGGGGTGGGTGAGAAGTGCTGGGCCCTTCCCTGGTGGTGGCCAGCAGGAACAGGAGGTACCTAAATGGTCTGATGAACTGGGTGACACATCCTCCCTGATTGGCGCAGGGCAGGTGGAAGCTCAG